GTGTGTGGCCCGGAGGACCGAGGACAGGAGAGCGAGCGGCTAATTAATTAAATAATGTGGTTCTGTAGCTTTCTCTTCAGCACAGCCGACAAAGGTTTATGATGGGTCAGTCCTCCTGCATGCTCAGATCATTCCCTTCCCTTGCTTGAAAAATTGTTCCAAAATGAAAGTTGAACCCACATCTTTTTTATCTGTGAATTCAATGCCGTTCGGCGAGTCTCAAATAAAAATTTGGGCGTTTTACTGTAAAAAATATATCATTCATGTAAAAAAGAAACTCTGAATGAACTATGTTCACATCCAGAATTGAACCCAGGTCTTCTGCATGAGTTAGTTGTCTTACAAGGTGAGCTATTGCATCTGTAACTTTTACATCCTTGATGACAGCTGCAACAACGTCAAACCAAAGAACGGTTCGGAGTGAAAATGGCTGTTTTGTTGCTAATTAGCAGGAAATATCTAGAAGAAAGTTCTACAGAAAGTAGCTAAGGGTCCTCAGAAATGTAGCTAGCTTTGTCACTAGGCGTTAGGAACAGCGACAAAGTGGCACTGCCTCTCTCTCTGCTGCTAAAGCTACGGATAGCAAATGCTACGGGCGATGCCTGAGCGTGAACGCGCATGAAGCAGCCTGCTCGACCCGAGCATCTCTCTTTTTCTGTGATTTTACAGAAAAACAGGCAATCACAGTAAAAATGCCAGGGCTCATTCTACAGGACCAGGGCATTGCAGGAGAATGTATGAAGAAGACATTTATTATTTCTATACATGTTTTGGCTGTCACACTTCCATAATGCCCCTTTAAGTGATTTTATGTGACTAATGATGTTTTCTTGCTGTTTTAACGGTTTTAAATGTGCTGAATCTAAATCATACGACTGGAAGAGGGTGAGGGGGTTCCTACAGGAGACTCATCTCCACCAACTGGAGGAGTGAAATCTGCGTTCTTAGGAGGAAAACTGAGGAGAGAGACGCCGATCATAAATCTAAAGGAAGCCTAGCCGATGGTATAAAAGACTGTTCTGAATTTATCTTGTAACTGTGACTTGACTGTTGATCTTAAGTGGAGCTGAGATAGGACGTAGACTCTGGGAGGCCCCGTTTCCATGGTGACCTGAAACAGCTGGAGACTCTGACTACAAAAGACTGGCTCAGACAGAGACCTGCGGTCTTTCCCACCTGCCAGGACACCGGTCAGCGGCGGCAGGACGCTGGGCCTCAGGAAGGGATCTGTCATTTACTGGGAGTATATGTGAGGTCTCGGACCTCCTCACCGCCTACTGAGAGGCACTGGACCCCAGAGGAAGCAGGTCAAGACTCCCGGGTCAGGCAGATAACTCTGGCGGAGTCCCTTCACACAGCCGCCTGATAACTTTCAGTGGAAGCCTGTCGTGGGTTTTGTCCCCCCAGGCCAGCTGGAAGTCTGCACCTGTTAGATGCAGGGCTGCAGGAGTCATCTCAAGTCAGACAACTTAGGGCCAGGAGCCAAGACCCTGTGGAAAACAGGTGAAACAATTAGTGCTGAGTTAGATGAGGCACTAAATGCCTCAGGTAGCTGGATTTATTACTTACACTTAAACATCATTCACTTTTATTTCATTAAATGTTTTTAGCTTATTTTTTCTTCTACACAGAAGATAATTTGCTGTATGTGTCTCTGATAGTTTTAGTGTTTTACTCCTTTCTAGACCAAACTCCCGTCAAAACCACTTCTGACATGAATGCCTCTGACGGAGCATCAGGACTAGTGCCTTCACCAGAAACCTTGTGTCTGCTGCCCCCTGGTGGAGGAGCTACAGAGTTATTACACAATAAAACACTTTTTCTGTCATGGTAACATTAGACGACAAACTAGATTGTTTAAATATTTAATGTTAAAATTTCAGTGAATTTGTTTCCTCTTTAATAAAAATTAGTGACTTCTGATTTTTACAGCAATATTAAAACTGTACATTTTGGGTGATTCGGGAGCCTCAAGGTTCCTGTTTTGACCCGAGTTCATGTGGATTTTAGATATTTACATTTTTTACACCACAGAAAACTTGCCAGAGGTTTTCAGTGATGCTAAACCAGATGGCAGCTGTTGTGTGTGTCAGTGTCTCCATTTGCAGCATGAATCACAACATCAGTGAAAAATGGAGTGTGTCTGTTGTACCATGGCTCTGAGCATTAATGCTCACCAAATCCAAATTTCTTATGTGTGTTACTCCACCTGCACCTGCATCGACTGAATTCACGACTCCTTTCAGTTTCTCTCCAAGAAAAGCAGAAACATCAGGATAAACATACAGTTTGTTTGGCTGATGTGCATCTGTCACAAATAAGAGTTACATGTACAGTAACCTCATGTGTTTTAGTCTTTAAACCTGTAACCGTATGTACTGTTGTGAGGCTGCAGCTGTGAGGCTGCAGCTATGAGCCTGCAGCTGTGAGGCTGCAGCTATGAGCCTGAAGCTGTGAGGCTGCAGCTGTGAGCCTGCAGCTGTGTGGCTGCAGCTGTGAGGCTGCAGCTATGAGCCTGCAGCTGTGAGCCTGCAGTTGTGAGCCTGCAGCTGGAGCCTGCAGCTGTGAGGCTGCAGCTGTGAGCCTGCAGCTGTGAGGCTGCAGTTGTGAGGCTGCAGCTGGGGCCTGCAGTTGTGAGGCTGCAGCTGTGAGCCTGCAGCTGTGAGGCTGCGGCAAAGCCAAACTGATAAATTCAGTCAAGAAGCAGCAGCCGCCTCATCAGGCTTGTGTGTGTGTGTGCGTGGGTGTGCGTGTGTGTGGAGTGTTTTCTATTTTGATGTGAGTTACCTGATTTGTTTTAAAAAGTTAAATACTTTTAGGAATGGAAGGATCCAGTTCCTGTTCCACAAATTAAATATCTGGGCATGAAGTTAGTTCATCAGTTGTGTTCAGAATAAAATTCTATTTATAATTTCGACCTAAATACACTAAACATATTCCATTTGCTGTAAAGAGCACATCTCCTCTTTAAATGATCAAAGAAAATAATCTATGTTATTGCTCAGATCTAATATTAAAGGAAAAACATGTTTGAGACACGACGTTAGAAACAAGGGGATTCTGTAACTTTTGGGTTCTCTTGAAGGATTCAAATTTGTTAAACATTCACTTTAAAAATGCAAAAATCTATTAAAATCCTGCTGCCGAAAACTCAGAATGCACAGTTAAATCTAGAGAAAATAAAATAATTTGACAAGGAGGAGAACACTATTTTTAAGATGCATTTAAAGGGTCTCTTTTCTGCATCCTGTTTCCTTCCAGGTCATGGTGCTGAGCTTCACCTCTTCTAACGAGAAAAGTTTAAGTCAGCTGCTCAGTAGAACCGTGTTACTCCAACATAACCAATATGACATTAACAGGACTAAAGCAGGCCCAACAGCCTCACAAGAGCCACCGGTTGATCAGACTAAGACTCATTTGTGAAGCAGCAATGGAAGCAACAGTGTAGACGTGCAGAAACTAACAGATGAATAACAAATCTAATCTAACTGAAAACATTACAGTTATGAAGAAGACATCCAACGTCTTTACTGGCTCCGTGTACTTCCTCTCTCTGGCAGATAGGGGGCCTTTTCCTTGGCACCGCGGTGTATGATGGGAAAATGGGATCAGGTAAGCTCCTCCACTTCGTGAAGTTCATGGAAAAAAGCATCTAAACACAGGAAACTACAAACGGTATCTTCACAATAAAAGTAGCACAACGCAGTACCTTTACATACAGCCATCAGCACCTCGGCCATCATTCAACCAGCTCTAATCCACTTTAACTTTATCTAGCTGTCTAATAAACTTTCCGAATATGTAAATTGTACTAAATATTTAATTTAAAACAAGTGGCACTAAACTGGTCATTCGTTCTTTGACTTTTACTTTGAAGTTCTAAAGCGGAAGTAAATCACCTTTTACTGATAGCTTGATGCTATCTGCTACTCAATGACAGGAGGAGCCGAAGAAGCGGCAGGTGAATGATTTACGAGCTGTATATTTCGTCGTCTCACCTGCTGAAAATTATTTAAACTTTGAGTGAAACCGAGCACAAATGTTCCGCTTCTCCCGACTGGTTCGACATTACAGTAAAAACAGTCCGATATCATTTAAAAGTGGACAAAGGGCGACTCCGCTCCGCCCGGAATCGGCAGCAGCAGGTGGGCTAAAAAGAACCAGTTTGTGTGTTTGAAGCGCGTGTTTGCCTTTATTTACCGGGTCAGGTTTCGTCCGTCACGCTTATGCTTTCATTATCTTAGAGCAGCTTTAGTGTGTCAAACTAACAGATTATGTGACGCAGTTTAGCTTAAAATTAGCATAAAGTTAGTGATGACTGGCGATGCCCCGCCCCCTGCGGTAAAGCGCGCTCACCTGCTGCTCACAACAAATCATAAACCCAGAATCCGCTGGAAACCACACGAGCCTGGAAGCAGTGACGTTTGTCTGGTTGAATGTTTGTTCGCTAGATCATGAAACGACTGCTGTGGTTGTTGCAGCACCCGGACCCGAACCCGAACCCGGAGCCAGCGGTCATTTAGGATGATTTAAGGCCCAAGTTTCTAGTTCTGGTCATTCTGTTCTACAGCTTTTGTCTTTTAAAGAGATTCTGCGTGAACTCTTATATAAGAATATCCTAAAAATAAGAATAAATGAAACGAAACTAACAATCGTGAAATGTATTTGTTCAGCTGTTCAGCACAATAAATCTATAAATACATTTTTTTGTCGTAAATACCTGGAGATGTGGGAATTGACGCTAAACCCAGGAAGTTCTGAAGAGGAAACGTGTTTTGTGGCCTTTAGTAACAAAGCAGATATTCACTAAAGTTTCTCACAGCTGGGAGATGACGTGTTGTCCCTGTTATTGTGTGTGGCTGGTTGTAACACAATATTTGTCCTCATTGTTTCTTCCAGTTCACGAATCCCCAGAGGAAGCCTTCATCCCACTCCTTCGCCTCTGGAATTGGCTCCTTCATCTCTGATCCTCCTGGGCTCCTCTCCTCGCTGCTCTCGGATCAGTTTGAGGAGAAACCCTGAAGCAGGAGTCATGCTGTCGGCCGAGGAGATTCTGTGCAGCACGCAGCAGGTGATTGCTGGGCTGGAGGCGCTGAGGGGGCAGAACCGCAGCCTCCTGGAGAGCCTGCAGGAGGCGTCACAGAGCGTCAGCGTGGAGCGGGAGAAGAGCAGCATCATCCAACAGTCGCTAGAGAGGATCGAGCTGGGTCTGAACGAGGCGCAGGTACAAACAGCTCTGCAGCTTCTAGTGAGGGAGTTCTGAGCCCTTGTGACAGTAAACAGGAACACGCGTTTCCTTCAGGGTCCTCTAACGTTATCCAGAATCCGTCCGTTCCGGGCCATGGAAACCAGTCAGAGCCAGAACTCTCCGACTGGTGATGACCTTTTTATGAAAGTTATAATCCTGTTATTATTCAACAAGAAAGCTGAACTGAAGCACGGTGGAGAGGGAGGGGGCGGGGTTTAAGTGTTGAAATGAGCCAATAGACTTCCAGCCTAAGCCTGATTTATACTTCTCCGTGAGCGCCGCAACAGAGAGACGCACACGGAGTGTCGGGAAGGTTTTCACATGTGAACTTCTGCACAACAGAGGCAGGGCTACCTTAGCCAGCTGCTAGGCCCCGGGGCAGAGGGGCTCAGTAGGCCCCCCACGGGGGGAAATATGTGCACTGGTGGAAGAGGTGATCTGGACACAGGTTTTGGATTGTATTTGTGTCCGTGGTTGTCCTTCCCTTTATTCTCTGTCCCTTAAAGCCTAATTCATGCATTCATCACACCTAATTCATGCATTCATCACATCACAAATCCACTAATGCAACAGCATCTTATATGGCATCCCATCCTAATCCCTCACCAACCTTCAACACATCCAGCACCTCCTAACCCACACCTGCTGACCTCCACCTTCACCTTTACAGCATCTGAGTGTTTAGAAAATAACTTCATTAATAAAATGTGTTTTTATTCTACATTATGAACCTAAGAGCCGTACTACTGTGGTGTCCCAGGGTTGGGCAGATCTGCTGCTGCAGCTCTTAGGGTCACTAATCCCCCACGATAGACCACAGCAAGGAGGCGCGCGCGCACGCACGCACGCACACACACACACACACACACACATGTTACATTGTGATTTCTTAGTAAATATTCTATTTGGTGAGAGATAAACTTTATTGTATTTATCCTAGTGGATCTATAATTAAACGGGTAAACTAGTAATGAATGCAATGCAAGGTGAATGCAATTAACACGGGGCTGCACTTCATCCTGGAACATCTTGATCAACCAAGGACCAACGCAAGGATATTGTTTGTGGATTTTAGCTCTGCTTTTAACACCGTTATACCAGAAATCCTCACCTCAAAGCTTTCTCAGCTCACCGTTTCCCTGCTATGTGTCGGTGGATTTCCAGCTTCCTGACAAACAGGAGCCAGCATGTGCGGTTGAACAATGTTACATCTGGCACAAGGCTGATCAGCACCGGTACACCACAGGGGTGTGTCCTTTCTCCACTGCTCTTTTCATTGTACACCAATGACTGCACCTCTAAGGACTCAGCTGTAAAAATCCTGAAATTTGCAGATGACACCACTGTCATTGGGCTCATCCAGGATGGTGATGAGTCTGCTTATCAGCGAGAAGTTGAGAGGCTGGTGGTCTGGTGTAGTCAGCACAATCTTGAGCTTAACACCCTTAAGACTGTGGAGATGGTCGTGGACTTTAGGAAGCTTCCCACGGTGCTGCCCCCCTCACAATATCCAACAGCCCAGTGTCAATGGTGGACTCATTCAAGTTCTTGGGAACTATCATTTCCAGGGATCTGAAGTGGGAAACAAACATCAACTCCATGGTCAAAAAGGCTCAGCAGAGGATGTATTTCTTACGGCAACTAAGGAAGTACGGCCTACCACAAGAGCTGCTGATCATCTTCTACACTGCTGCAGTCGAATCCATACTTAGCTCATCCATCACTGTCTGGTTTGGGTCAGCCACAAAAATGGACAAATGCAGACTACAGCGTATTATTAAAACAGCAGGAAAAATCATTGGTGCCCAACTGCCCTCTGTCCAGGAACTGTACATCAGCAGGACCAGGAGAAAGGCAGTGAATATTGTCCAAGATGCCACACATCCTGCATCTACTCTCTTCCATCTCCTCCCATCTGGCAGACGCGATAGATCGCTGTACACAAAAACCACCAGACACAAGAACAGTTTCTTTCCTTCAGCCACTTCTCTCCTGAATCTGTAGATTATTTTACCTTCCTTTTACTATAGTTTTTAATACTTAATCAGTATGCTTATGGATGTGTGTGTGTGTGTGTGTGTGTGTGTGTGTGTGTGTGTATGTGTGTGTGTGTGGGTGGGTGGGTGGGTGGGTGTGTGTGTGGGTGGGTATGTATATATGTATATAGGTGTGTGTGTGTGGGTATACATGTTCTTATGTGTTTTTAGGTATTTTTATTCTCATTTATTGTGGTTGTTGTATGTTTTAGAGAGCGAACATCTACCGAAGACAAATTCCTTGTAAATGTAATTTTACTTGGCCAATAAATCTGAAATCTAGTAGTAGCACATTCAGTGTCAAAGAGAGTAAAAAGTTATTATCAGGAGAGGGAGAATGTTTAAGTGGTTAGCAGCAGTGTGCTAGACGATGGCCCCCTCCATGAGGCCACCACAGCTCAGCAGAACATCGTTGTAGCTTCTTCTGGGGAGAAAAACACTTAGAGAGAAAATAAAGTTAACAGCTGCAATAGCAGGAAGTAATACAGTTAAAGAGCAGACTGTAGAAGAAAGCAGTCGAGTGTGAAAAGTGGTCAGTGTGTCCTCCAGCAGTCTAAGCCTATAGCAGCATAACTACAGAGATAACTGAATAACCTAGCCTTTTTAGATGGAGGCATGTTGGAGGCAGGGCAAGGAAGAGCCATCTTTACCGACTGTACACTCCACCTCCCTCTACTCCCCCACTTGTCCAGATCTAGGCTAACATCAGATTTTAACCATAGGCCCTATCAAATAAAAATGTTTAAGCCTATTCTTAAAAGTAGACAAGGTGTCTGCCTCACGGACTAAAGCTGGGAGCTGGTTCCACAGGAGAGGAGCCTGATAACTAAAAGATCTGCCTCCCATCCTAATTTTAGATATTCTTGGAACCACCAGTAGACCTGCAGTCTGAGAGCGAAGTGCTCGGTTAGGAACATATGGAACAATCAGATCACTGATGTATGATGGAGCTTGATTATTAAGAGCTTTATATGTGAGAAGAAGGATCTTAAAATCTATTCTGAATTTAACAGGTAGCCAATGTAGGGAAGCTAAGACAGGAGAGATATGATCTCTCTTTTTAATTCTCATCAGAACTCTAGCTGCAGCATTTTGGACAAGCTGAAGACTTTTAACTACATTCTGTGGACTTCCTGAGAGTAATGGATTACAGTAATCCAGTCTTGATGTAATAAATGCATGAACTAGTTTTTCAGCATCACTCCTGGAAAGGATGCTTCTAATCTTAGCAATATTCCGAAGGTGGAAAAAGGAAATCCTACAAACCTGTTTAACCTGGGATTTGAATGACATGTCCTGGACAAAGATAACACCAAGGTTCCTTGCTTTGTTCTCGGAGATTAATGTAATGCCATTCAGGTCAGGCGATTGGCTAAGCAATTTCCTTTTCTGGATTTCTGGTCCAAAGATGAGAACTTCCGTCTTGTCTTGATTTAAAAGCAAAAAGTTTAGAGTCATCCAATTTTTTATGTCCTCAAGACAAGCCTGTAATCTACCCAACCGATTAGGTTCATCAGGGTTAATGGATAAATATAGCTGAGTATCGTCAGCATAACAGTGGAAGTTTATCCCATGCTGTCTAATGATTTTACCAATTGGGAATATATATATAGTAAAAAGAATTGGTCCAAGCACTGAACCCTGTGGTACTCCGCAAGTAACCCTGGAGTATGAAGAAGATTTGTCATGTACATTTACAAAATGAAATCTGTCAGACAGGTAGGATTTAAACCAGCATAACGCTGTTTCTTTGATCCCTACAACATGTTCAAGTCTTTCTAAAAGAACATTGTGATCAACTGTGTCAAAGGCAGCACTGAGATCTAACAAGACTAGAACAGGCACAAGATTCTTATCTGAGGCCATGAGAATATCATTTGTAACTCTCACTAATGCAGTTTCAGTGCTGTGATACTCTCTAAAACCAGACTGAAATTCCTCAAACAGAGCATTAGTGTTTACATGCTCACATACCTGATTGAATAAACAAATTATGGTAGTTTGATCTTGGAAAAGGATGGATCTTATGCCGCTTAAACTATTCCGTTGAACGACTCAGGCCTGATTCCCAAATAAGATATTATTAAAGGGTTTGTTGTTTATAAGTTCAGGACCAAGCAGAATATAGAAAGTTTACGAGGCGTTGGAGTCCTCAGATGTCCCCTTTTCTCAGACACTTAGAAACGCTTATTTCACTTATAATGTGAAGTAAATATGTTAAACAGTCATTTGTTAATATTGATATTAATATGTGACATGACTGATAATAAATCATTATTAAACCATCAAGTAGTCTCATTTAGTTTATTTGTGATCTGAAATACGGCATTTCAAGAATAAACTGTTAACAGAGCAACTTGATTGTCATCGGAAAAGTCGATGAGTCGACAACCTCAGATTCTGAATTGTTTGACCGCCCCGTCCGCTCTCAGTCGTCACACGAACGTCGTGACAAACATCTCACTTGCACTAACATCACTGATCACCATCGAGTGAAAGTGGGCCGTCCCTTTTATTAACTTTCAATCGGTCCACAAATATGGAACACCTGCGGACTCACAACCCAACATAAACATTTATGTTGATTCATTCATTCCTGTAAAGCAGTCAAGACATTATTACATCACTTTAGATAAAACATTTGTTATATAATGTAATTGTAATTAACCTGTAAAGTAAGGAGTTGATGGTATGAGACCAAATAAGAGTCTTTATTAAACTAAAGAGTCTGGTCTTCTGCAGGAGACTTGTGCCTGCATACACTGAAGCAGGAGAGAGATTGTTGTGATGGCGTCTCCAGGTGGCGTAGGCGTAGGAAGGATAAACAGGACTGTTGTGGTATGAAGAAGCACACCAGAAGACTTTTGCTGGACGCTTCTACATCTGGTGGACTCTGACTAGGCTTTCATGTGTCTGGTATAAGTCAGGCTTTACTTCAGGACCAGTACAGACGTGCATAGACAGTAGTATACCTTAGTGGTGCCTTTAATATAGAAACAGTGTGTGTAGCATGACCATATAAAATAAAGTAATACACTGTTAAATATTTAATGTCATTTTTTATTTTTAAACGGTTAAATTGAAGTAAAAGTTGTGATTATTCTGACGAACGAACATTTCAGCTTTAAATGAGACATTTCTGATGTAATAAAGCAGATTTTTCATGTCTCCTAAAATCCAAGCTCTCTGATTGGCTGAGGCTCTCCGAGCTTCTGCTGCCGCTGGCTAAACACTTAAAGTTTCTGTAGTCATGTTTCTGGTTGTTGGTTCTTCTGCAGGTGATGATGGCGCTGTCCGCTCATCTCGGCTCGCTGGAGGCTGAGAAGCAAAAGCTTCGAGCTCAGGTGAGTTCTGGAAGAAGTGATCGGTTGCTTCATATTATTTGAGTTTTTCAGATCCATTATGTGCGTTAACTCTGTTAGGATGTTTGTTGTCTGCTGCTCGTGTCCTTCCCGCTGACCTCCTCTGTTTTTGTTCTGTCCTCAGGTTCGTCGTCTCTGTCAGGAGAACCAGTGGCTGCGGGACGAGCTGGCCGGCGCTCAGCAGCGGCTGCAGGACAGCGAGCAGGAGGTGGTCACCCTGGAGGAGCAGAACCGACACCTGCAGTTCATGTCCTCCATACGGAAGTATGACCAGGACGAGCCGCCTCTGGTGAGGAAGAACTTCTGCTGAAGTTTAGATCTTAGTTATAAAAACAGAAACGGCTTTCCTCAGAAACCCTACGGCTCATCTAAAGCGTGACGTGTAACTAGTATCCGGCAGAAACGAGGCACAGCGTGGTGTGAGGGTGTAGAGTTGGGCTACAGATGTATTTTGGGGTTTTAATTAAGATCAATAAGATCTGATGATTCCAAATAACTAGAATATCAACCTGATTGATCCTTGCATATTTAACCAGAAGAATTAGGATTGTTTATTCAGGGATCGTTGGTACACTTCTTATAAATTCAGACAGTCAGGAGTATAAAGTAAGAAATCTACTTTCTGAACTAATTATAAGACGTGAGAGCTAAAACAGTGATGTGATGAGTGTACGATGTCGTGTACCGGGATGTGTATCACAACCCTCCTATCTGAGCTCTGAGTGTGACTAAATTTGGTCTGCATTCAACTAGAAAGTAGATTTCTAATAAAATGACATCAGACGCAATCTGTCGTGCCTACGTACCGTTTCTGGAGACCCCCGTGGTAGATCCGGAATGTCAGGAAGTCCAGTGGACCTCACGGCACCGAGGTTGGCAGGATAACCACAGCACGACCAGTTCCAGTCTAGAGATGTCTCCAGGTGACAACAACGGGTGGACTTGTTTTGCGTCTCGAACGGACTCTTAAGGAGTGTTGCTGTGTCGGCTTTGTAGCGTGCAAACAGCTTTTGACTGTATGTCAGCGAGATGTTTCACAGAGGCTGGTTCCAGACCGGCCACTCCGGATCGGCTCGATGAACTTCAGCGAACTGAATAACTCGGGAAGTGATCTAAGTTTTATAATTCATGTTATGATTTACTGACAAATCAGAATTTGACATGTTAAGGAGGTTTTACCAACAAATCTCAGAAGCCACACCTTTCTCGGAGATACAGGATGCTCTGATCTGTGGATAAGAAAGGAATGTGTCATGAGATTACTTTAACCTTGTCACCTTGTCATGTGTACGAGTGTGTGAGCTGTCAAGTCACGGACACTGAGTAAATATACGGGTCACTGCGAGAACACATTCAGTTCATCCATATTAATGTGAGCACAGATTAATCAAAACATTTCATTTAACCCTCCCACTGTCCTCATGGGTGTGACCCCGCGAGGAACGGTGACCGTTGAGCTGGGTTGATGGTTTATCGCTTGGGTCCACGTGGCAGGGGTGAGGAGTGAGCACCACCTCACCCCTGCCACGTGCACCCATAAAGACAGCGGGAGGGTTAACACCTTGTCTGTTCATTACCTGATTTCATTAACCACATTGTTCGTTTCATTATATGATTTAATTATAAAAGTTCATCTTTTTTTCTGTGAAGCCATCTGAGAGAGGAAAGCTTTAAGAGAGACTTCGGCGAGGCAGCAGTCTGTTGACAGTATGTTAGGGTGTGTGCCAGGGCGCTGCAGAACCAGATGCAGACCTATGTCTCTATGTGACCGGATACTGAAGATGAAAAACTGGTCATTTCTGGATGCTACAGAGGTTTATCCACATGTTCTTCCTTCAGGATGAAAGAGACTCTACTAGCAACAAGGAGACTCTGGACGACTTGTTTCCTGCTGAGGATGAGGAGCAGACTCAGAGTAAGTCTCGCAGCAGCAGGAACCTTCTTCTGGGGCGACGGTGGCACAGGAGTTAAGTGCTCGCCCCGTAATCGGAAGGTTGCTGGTTCGAGTCCTGCTCAGTCTGTCGCTGTCGTTGTGTCCTTGGGCAAGACACTTAACCCACGTTGCCTGCTGGTGGTGGTCGGAGGGACCGGTGGCGCCAGTGCTCGGCAGCCTCGCCTCTGTCAGTGCGCCCCAGGGCAGCTGTGGCTACATCGTAGCTTATCACCATCAGTGTGTGAATGTGTGTGTGAATGGGTGAATGACTGATTGTGTTGTAAAGCGCCTTGGGGGGTTCCAGGACTCTAGAAGGCGCTATATCAAATACAGGCCATTTACCATTTACCATTTTCTCGGTTGCACTTCAGTGGAGGTCTGAAATAAGAAGATGCAGCTTTTACGTTTTTAAACTAACTAACTTGAGTAAAGGTGGAGAAAATGTCTGTTCAGCATCTCTGATGTTCAAAAACATTTAAAGAGCAGGTTCACTGAAAACCTGTTTTAATGATTATGTCTGATGCTAACGGGTCACTCTGAGTGTTTGATGCAGGCTGAACATGAGAATAGTCTCCTACACCTGTCTCCTGCAGTAGCTGCTGGTAGAAAACAGACGGTGAAACTCTAGGATAGAAAATCCTGACAGATCTACGTCACCCTGTCACTAACATTCATGGACTCACCCATTTGGACTCACGACGGGGAAGGCTGTTGTTGGTTTAGCGTCCAGGAAACAGCAGAGAACGTCTCGGCTAGTAGAAGCTAACTGTTAGCATTAGCAACTCCACCACATAGCAGAACTCCTCCACTCTTGTGTTATTTGTGGAGATAAAACATCAACGTTGCAGAGCAAACAGAGTCAGTGGTAGAGTTGTGTTGCTGTTAGTCAATCAGAGGAGAGATGTCCACATCACAGGAAGTAAGACTTCAGATCCTGCCATCTGAAGCTACTTTTCCTCAAACAGGAGCACCAGATCTTAGTTTCTCCGAGTACGACTTACGAGGCCTTCATTCCTACCAGGACCACTGCAGACATGTTGAAATGCCACTAAACCTGATCTTTAATAGAAATGTGTTGTTTTCATGGTCAGCAGAGACGTTGTTTTAAGCATTACTGAGCAGGACTTGTTCATGAGGGAATGAGGGACTGAGTAATGGTTTCTAGCCACGGTGGACCCAGTTCGTTTGTTTCTGTCCCAGTGTCCCAGCCTCATCACAGCAGCGCCGCAGCTGCAGCTCAGCAGGGTGGCTATGAGATCCCCGCTCGCCTCCGAACGCTCCACAACCTCGTCATTCAGTATGCGTCTCAGGGGCGGTACGAGGTCGCTGTCCCACTCTGCAAACAGGTGAACACGTGGCCTCCTGCCCTAACGTCTCTTCAGAGCCAGACTAGCTAAACCAGAGCTGATGGTTGCTTCTCAACAGGCTCTGGAAGACCTGGAGAAGTCCTCAGGTCACACTCACCCCGACGTCGCCACCATGCTCAACATCCTGGCTCTGGTGTACAGGTGAGAGTAGTTACCATAGCAACCTCACTGCTAGGTAGATGCAGCTGATCTGTTTTATTGTTGTTCTCCTTCCAGAGATCAGAATAAATACAAGGAGGCAGCGAACCTTCTAAATGATGCGTTAGCCATCAGAGAGAAAACTCTGGGACTGGACCATCCAGCTGTGAGTAACACCAGTTAAACCAGCTTCACCAGTGACTTCTACTGGTTTCTGTTTGACTTGATTATGGATCTGATTTAGCAACCAGTAACATATCTGTTCCATGCAAATCTGTGTGTGTGTATGTGTGTGCATGTATGTATGTGTGTGTGTGTGTGTGCGTGCGTGCGTGCGTGCGTGTATGTGTGTGCGCGCGCGTGTGTATGTGTGTGTGTGCGTGCGCGTGTGTGTGTGTGTGTGTGTGTGTGTGTGTGTGTGTGCGTGCGTGCGTGCGTGCGTGCGTGTATGTGTGTGCGTGTGTGTGTGTGTGTGTGTGTGTGTGTGCGTGCGTGCGTGCGTGCGTGCGTGCGTGCGTGTGTGTGTGCGTGCGCGCGTGTGTGTGTGCGTGCGTGTGTGTGTGTGTGTGTGTGTGTGTGTGTGTGTGTAGGTGGCAGCAACACTCAACAACCTGGCGGTTCTTTATGGCAAAAGAGGAAAATACAAAGAAGCTGAGCCTCTGTGTAAGAGAGCTCTTGAGATCAGAGAGAAAGTGAGACGTGATCCAAACTATTAACAAAAAATCCACTAATATTAATAATGAACTAACATTCACTTTAATCCCATAAAGTTTTATATTAAACAATAGAAAAAATCTCCTGTTGTTGTTTAACCTAGACCCTGTGTTTATGTTCCCCGTAACTTTGGCTCAGGTTCTGGGTTCGGATCACCCTGATGTGGCCAAGCAGCTGAACAACCTGGCTCTGCTGTGCCAGAACCAAGGCAAGTACTGGGAAGTAGAACAGTACTACGAACGAGCTCTGCACATCTATCAGAGCAGACTGGGACCAGACGACGCCAACGTGGCCAAGACCAAAAACAACCTGGTGAGAGATCTTTTGTTTCTGCTGCAGAACCTCCTGAGGTCCTTCTCCTCCTTCCACCATCATCTTTAACTGGTTCATGCTGTTCTTGCTTCCTCTCCAGGCTTCATGTTATCTGAAACAGGGGAAATACAGACAAGCTGAAGGTCTTTACAAGGAGATTCTGACCCGGGCTCATGAAAAAGAGTTTGGATCTGTAGCAGGTATGAAAGGCTCTGACTTAAACACGTTACACTCTAGGGCTGCAACAAACGATTATTTGGATCATCGATTAATCGGATGGGGTCTCGACTCGATTAATCGGATGGAGTATCGACTCGATTAATCGGATTAAACGGGAACTTTTAAAAACTGTAGTGGTCACACTTTATAGAGTGACGACTGCAAATTAATTATGACCAATAAGATGCGATGATTCCATATAAATATGAAATATCAACCTGATTGATCTTTGAATGTTTAACCAGAAGATCCTAGTTACTTTTACTTGTTCCGGGACCATAAAGACACTTCGTATTGATTCAGACTGAGTCAGTATTTAGTTAAAAAGGAACTTTATTCTTTTCTAAACTAATGATTCTGCATCACAAGATATGAATAGTGAGATGTGATGGAGTGGATATGCGGTGATGGAGTGTGATGTGTAGGTGGTGTGATGTAAGCTAGATGTTCATCAGAACCTTTGTATCTGAAAGAAATTGTGAAATCTGGGTGTAAAAGAAATTGTTGTCTGCTATAAACTAGAGAGTTGATTATTAATAAAACAGCATCGGACGCAATCTGTTGTGTCCACAAACCCTGGCGGAGACCCCCAGCAGATCCGGACTGTCAGAAGTCGGGTGGACCTCACGGCACCGGGATCTAGTAGATTAACTCCGATACGACCCGTCCAGTCTTGAGATGTCTCCAGGTCACAACAGTAGCTGGAATGCTTAGGGAGCCGTCTGGCTGTGTTCGCTTGCAGCGTGCAGACAGGTTGACTGTATGTCAAAAGAGATGTCTCAAGGATGCTTGTTCCGAATTGGCCGGTTCGGAACGCCGCTAGAAACTGAATTACTCGGGAAGTAATTCCTGTTTTATTAAACTACTCTGTTATGATTTCCGGCCATTCTGGCCAATCAGAATGTGCCATGTCTGGAAGGCTTTACCAAAACATTCCTCAGAAAGCCATGCCTTCCTTCACATACGAGATTCCCAATTCTGTGAATCAGAATCTTTAAACGTTATGTGAGGTGAACCTTCATTAGTATCTTAGTAAGGTGTGTGTGAGTGCAGATAATGATTAACTTGTTGAACACATTCTGATCGTAAGACCTGCAATGGATCGTTGTAAGAGCAACATTCATTCCACCTTCACTGATTTAAGCACAGATTATTCAAACGTCGCGGGAGACCTTGGCAGTTTATTTATGTCTGCGTTGAAGATCAATAAGTGAGCAAAAGGTTCATGTGTGCGTCTGGATCCTCCAGCTGGCGTAACCTTGGCTTTGCAGCTCTGGCGCGTTCGAAAGGTTACCGTGTCCGTTAGATGCTGAACATCGACCCTTTTGATTCGTTACAACATGTAGGGAAACATTAGAAAACAGTTCAGTAGCGTGTAAAACAACATCCATCACCTAAATATATCCATAATTAAACTACGATCAGTTAAATGTAATGTCTTTCATCAACATGCTCAGTAGTAGCATGATGAATGTCTACTGCTAAAATGTAATGGTGACGTATCTGTTATGTACGGGGTAGCAATAATCCAGTTCAAATCATGTTCACAGATAGACGCGTTTAAGTGCTACGGTGGCTTGCCGTATTCCTGCAGCAGTGACTAGAAGCAGCAGCGGTTCTGCTCTGTAGCGCTGCAGACCGCTAATGAACAGGAGAGTTTTCTTCTGCTAGTACGGTTTAGATGTTCCATCGTGTTTGATCGTGAGCCTGCTAGCCGCTAGCATTAGCTAATCTGCTTGTAGTTACCCTTTTGGTCCCAAACTCTGGACTGTTTCTGCCTCTGTGTCTTTGCTGGTTTCTCCATTTTCCTCCACAGCACCTAGAGTAGCTCAGTGTGTGCCAGTAAAAGCATCTTCCTTACACGATAATCGTACGAGCGACATAAACGTGTCTCTGTTCTGAGCTGCCCGGTCTGCTCTGCTGCTGCAGCACATGAGCTGTTACTGAACTTTTACTTACAGGCTGCACAACACACCGGCTCGCCAGGACGGACAGAGTCGAGCTCTTCTAAACATCTAAACATCTGTTCATCCAGACGCAAGCTTGTGATTGGTCAGGACGCCGCTGTCACCTACAGTGATGCCATTGCGCCCTCAAAAACAGATAACTAGTGACAGACACAGAGAAGCTTAAAGAATACCTCGCAGGAAAACTAAAAATATGAACGTTTAATTCCCTGTGACTGGAGGAGTGAAAAGATGCACAGCAAGCGTTTTATTTGTGTATGGAAATGACAGGAAACGTGGGTTTAGAGGAGGCGAGCGCATGAAGAGGTGGAGGAGGATGAGAGACACATTTGTCTGTGTTAAAAAGTCTCTTAAATACAAATGAACACAATATAAACACTATCTTGGACCGGATCCACGACAGGACTCCACAGAACAGCGCTACGCCCTCTGCTGTCCTGGCGGGGAATTGCTTTGCAACGCTCCCAGGAGACGGAGACGTCTGAGGGCAAATTGTCTCCATCTGTGCGAGTCTCTCCCTCGTGGAGCTGATGGAGAAGCATCAGTTAGGCTTAAGTATGAAGGATCTAAACCTTCTAGTTTTGTCTGGATCTGCATCTGTTGGTGGTTTTCTGTCCCTCTGTCCTCCAGGTGACGGTCATCCTCACTGGTCCAGTGTGGAGGACAGCGTCTCCACACAGGAGGGACTGAAGCGCAGCAGCTCCTTCAACAAACTCCGAGAGTCAATACGCCGCAGCAGTGAGAAGCTGGTCCGCAAGCTGAAAGGAGTCGGAATGGAGGAAATTACCCCAAGGAATGCTGGGTAATTACTGGTCAGAGTGGGATTGCTGCTGGGAGCAGATTTACGTACTTAACCTGATGATCGGTAGCCTGGCCGTCCAGACTCGTCCTCTACACAGAGCACTAGTCTGGTTCCTCACAGGCAGAGCGGCACCTGAGGGGCGGGACCAGCCAGCTCTAAAATAACCAATCAGAAACGGTCGGAAATGCCGACTGTACCGCGCGACGCTGTATAGCTGTAGTCAAAATGGAGTCTAGCGACGGCGCAAACATCTTTCTTTAGGAGAACGGCCTTTAGCGCCTCTGCTTGTTGTGGTTTTAGAGACGTGTCCAAGTCGTTTATATCAGCGGAAAGAGCCGCAGCGTTCTCCGCTACAGACGCCATCTTCGTTGTTTATGAGAAACTCAGCGTCAAGGTGTGTGACTTTTGCCGCTCAGCGCTGATTGGCTCGGTTAGGATCCTCGGGGTGGAGTTGTTTGAGTAGGAGCATTCCCAGGTCCAATGCGGCTGGCTGGTCAGGCTAGATCACGCGTGTCAGACACAAGGCCCGCGGGCCAGATGCAGCACGGAGCATCTTTATGTGGCCCGCGAGATAAATATCAAAAATATATTAAAACTGACCCGCTGGCCGATTTTACCGCAAAGACTACAACTCCCATGATGCTTTGCTGCGTTAGCGCGGAGCCGACTCGCCCCCTCCTTTGTGTTTTTTCCAGCGCCTGCTGCCGGTGTCTGCAGCTCCGCTGTCTCGGACAGACTACACTCCTCTCACTCAGCGCCGAGTTCACTCGGCTTTTTTCTGACGTTGAAGCCCAGAAACGGAGATTCTAGCCGCTCAGTAACGTGTTCACGACTTAAAGAGAAAGTTTTCCTACTAACGTCCTGACAGAGCCGATATAACTCCAGCGAGCAGCGACACGCTCAAACCAGCACGACTCTGTGGTTGTGTTTCCTCCCCGACACACAACAACGTGGTCAAGCTGCTCAGACATGTTCATCAGCACAAACCTATGTGAGCACCTGTTGTCATCTAATGTTGTCGTTATTATGATGAAGATGAACAAAACAACAGGAGTCTCCTCCTCAGCTCAGATCAACCCCATGATGCAGGTATCTGGCTGGAACAGGTGAGCATCACAGTAAACCAGTGGAGCAAACTGAGCTTTAAATATGTTGGTTTGATGCTCTTTTTCTGCTCCAAAACATGAAAGTTAACAGGTGAGATGTTGCATTTTCATTTAAGATAAAGTGATATTTTATTTTGTTGTTGGCCCGTGAGAAAAGATTTAACCTACAGTAAACAGGAAGTGGAAAGGCTGCAGATAGATGAATAGAATAGAAAATCCCTTTATTGTTCCTCAGTGGGGAAAGCTAGACGTCACAGCAGCGATGACACGTATTACAGGAGAAAAAAGGAGAATAAAAATAAGAAAAATGAATAAACAAGAAAACATAAATCCTGAATAGATTTTTAAAATGCTGAATATACCACAAGTAATGAACACCACTGATGCCTTTTATTTAAAACGGACTTGCTCGTGTGTCATTTGGTTATTCCACATTCAGTGTTAATGCAGAAATAAATTTGTTTCCAAATTTAAAGGTTCAAAATTGCATTTATTTTGATAAATAAAATGTGCAAATTTGCGTCACTTTTTCAAAAAATATTAAGTTTGGCCCTCGACTCATTTCAGCCCCGTGTGAGTTTGACTCCCCTGGGCTGGATGATTGGTGACTGGTGCACGTGATGGATTGTGTCGGGTGACTAACTGGGATAAATGGCTTGGAGCCCAGCCCTGCAGAGACTAAAAACAAGTATTTTGAACCCGACTCTGAAAGCACCTGGAAGCCAGTGCAGCTTGGCCAGGTCGGGTGTGATGTGTTCCCACTTTCTGGGCCTGGCCAGGAAGCTAGCAGCAGCGTTTTGTGCAGCCTTGCTAGCTCCAGAGCAAAGGGAGCTGCACTAGTCTAGACGAGAAGTAAGATAATCATGGACACCAGCGGCTTGACCCTGGACAGGCAGCGGAGATGGAAACAGCAAGAGCGCACCACTCCGTTTGAGTCTCTAGCTTTAGTGACACGTCCAACCAAGTCCACACCCAGGTCAGTGACTAGCTCCGTCTTAAAGGGGCCGGTGAAGAGAGGTCCACCGCCTGCTTAGAGAGCGCTTGTCCTGAAAGTAAACTAAACTAGACGCTGGAGGCCATCCATGCTCTAACTCCATCTGGACCAGGGGTGTCCAACTCAGTCACACCCATCCCAAATCAAAGGCTGGGACCGAGCCGCGGGCCAGACTCGATCGTTTTTAAAAGTGACGGTAAGTATCTGTACGGCCGAACCTTTTCATCTGGAAACAAACTTATTTCTGCAGCAAGACTGAATGTAGATGAGCACATTACACACGAGCAAGTCATGGTGTCCACATCAGTGGTATCCACTACTTATGTCTCCATTAAAAACTGTTTAGTCCTTTAAATGTTTATATTTCAGCATTTTTTTATTTCATCTTGTAAGTATGTCTACTTTCTGTTTTCTTGTTTACTCTTTATGTTTACTCCTGTAAAAACGTTGCTGCTGCTGTGACACCGAGCTTTCTCCATAAACAGATGTTCTGTTCTGTCTGCAGCCGTTCCAGCTCCTGTTTTAAAGTACGTTCCATCTTTTTTTACAGGCCAGCAACATACATAAAATACAGTAATTCTCTTATATCAAAATGTAATCTCACCTATTAACTTTCATGCTTTGGAGCAGAAAAAGTGCATAAAAACCAAAATAATCCAAGCCCAGTTTATTCACTGTGATGCTCAGCTGTTCCAGCCACACACCTGCACCTGTGGGTTGGCTCTGAGCTCAGGTGTCCTGTTCATCTTCATCACAGACAACAGGTGCTCACACAGGTTAATGCTGCCGAACATGGAGAGCATCTGGACCACGCTGTTGGTCAGCGTGTCGCGAGGAGATGAACACCACAGCAGCTCCAGAGTCCTGATGGAGCTAAACGGGTCAGGTCGTCATGGTCGGTGAGCTTCCTCTCTCAGTAGCAGATTACTGAGCTGGTAAAATCCATTTCTGGGTTCAAAGCGGGCTATTTTCTTAGTAAAGTCAGCGCTGAGGCAGAGGAGAGACCGCTGCTGATGCGGGGTTTAAACGCCTTCCTTCTGCACCGATCCTTCTCTTCCTGGACATGTTGGCGTCATGTGTGGATAGTTATCGTCACTTGTTGCATTAATTAAACACGCATGTGGACACACTGCAACCTAGTGGCGAAATACTGTTGCTGCACTGCTAATACAATCACTTTGCATTATGGGAAATGTAGTTTATAGCCAATATAGCAGCATAGACCTATTTTAACACACTTGAAGCTCTCATGGGCCACATCTGACCCGTGGGCCTTGTGTCTGACACATGTGGTCTAGGCAGTCCAGGAGAGGCTTGACTGGGCCTGGACAACCCCGCCTCAAGGGAAGGACCTTGTGCTTCTGAAAAAGTGAACCAAGGGGCAGCAGATGGAGAGCAAAACCTCTCGTTGATGGGTTTACAGATGAACTGCTATACTTGGGAAGCATCTCTTTGTGCCAGTGCTCTCTGATGCTGATGCTGGTTTCTACTTTCTAGAATGAAAAGAGCAAATTCCCTGAATGTCCTGAATGTTGGAACCAGAGAGAATCAGGACGGCACCCAGGTGAGCCGAACATCTCGTCTCCAAACGCAACGTTCAAAATAATTGTACCGTTTAACCCTCTGAGTCAGGCTCTTCAGCAGCCGTGAGGAGTCACTATCTTACCTGTGAGCATGTCTCCGTTCGGAGAATCGGAGAAATTCCCATCGTAACCAAACCCTTTCGTGCAGGAGTGGTGATGTGGCAAAAATACATTTTAATGTTACATTTGACCATTTTGTTGCTGAACAGTGCAGCCATACGGTTAGCTGCTGTATGCTACTATGTGCTAGTAATGCTAATGCTAATGCGCCGCCACACAGACTCACTGCTGAGGTAACAGACTAGCCCTCCTCTCTATGAACCCACACCATCAGGCTCGGTGTCGCAGCTAAAACGGTCCGGGCAGAAACGTGGATCCAGAACATCGTTCTAGATGGAACTCTATGATCTTTGATTCGGCAGATTGTCCACGTACATGACCCCCCCCATTTAAAACACCTTCCTGTGTTTTTTGCTCCTCAGTCGAGTCACCTGACGGACAGTCGAGCTCTGAGCTCCAGCACGCAGAGTCTAACGAGACGAGGATCGCTTGGTGGGACCAGATAACACACACACACACACACACACACACACACACACACACACACACACACACACACACACACGACATCAGGAAGGACTACATCTGCTGCTCTGGATCAGCTTCAGGTGGATTTTCTCAGCCAGTTCCTGCACGATGGACCAAAACCTGGTTGTTGAAAAACCACGTCCCTGTTTGAATCGGCGAGTTTCGTTTACGGGAGACCAAAAAGCTTTTAGGTGTTAAAATAATCATGAATTATTAAAGTAATGTAATACTCCAGTTACAGATTACCCTTGACGTTGCTATGTTCCTAATGGTGCTGGACTTCCTGTTCAGTGAAACAAACTGTCGATAAGGTCTTCTTTAGTTACTGACGGCCGTTTCTGCTGCTGAAGCCGTCACTGGTGTGATGAGCGGTGGAGATGGCTTTCATTAAAAACCCGTTTAACCGCTTTCTAAAAACACGGATTTGCGTCTCCGTGGCTAAACATTCATTTGGATTTGTCTGGTTATAATTTATGACATGTCACCTGTGACCCTTTAGTCTGGTCAGGAGCCAGACACACCTGGCCCTGGAACAGCAAGGGATTATGGGACATTAGTGGGTGAGGTAGCTGCGTTTTTCATCCAGAGATGAACGATGTAACCGTGACCGACCAGACTTTGTCATGATTCCCACTGGCGGCATGATCAAACTCTAGTTTTATTACCTGCTGCGCTAACTTTATAATTAAAGTAAGAATTTAGTCTTGGAAGTCCCAAAGGGTTCAGATGAAGGCAGCTGGACTTCTTTGG